CCACCTTTAGAGGCACATTTGTTGGCATCCTCAGACAGGGTCTTTTTGGTGGCTGCTTCTATACTATGGAGCTCCCAGGGGAAGCTAGATTTGCTCCCTCTCTGCTGTCCTTTGACCAGCAGGAAAATGCTACCACTGAAGAAGACCTTTGGCCTATAAGTGGGATTGTTGGGTAGGAGCTGTTTTCAATATTTTTAATTTTTTCTTTTTTCTGTAATTTTGATTTTATTATATTTTAATGTACTATATTCTTGTTTTCAGTTTTCACTGCCCTCATGAACCATCTTGAATTCCATTTTTTTGGTAGAAAGATGTGGAGGGCACAAATCAATAAACAATATGTCCAGAACAAAATAACTTTAGAGTCATTAGGGAAGGGAAAATGCTGTGAAATAATTAAGAAAGGAATTGAAAATAAAAAGGCCAAAATCTTATTCCCTCATACAGATCTATAGTGCAGTGACACTTAGAATACTGTGTACAGCTCTGGCCAGTGCAACTTAAAAGATATTGTAGAGCTGGAAAAAGTGTAAAAAAATGGACTAAAACGATCAATGGGTTGGAGCAACTCCTCAATGAGGAAAAGTTACAACATTTGGAATTTTTTAGCTTAGAGAAAAGGAAAATAAGGGGAGGCATGATAGAGGTGTTCAAAATTGTGCATGGTTGTGGAGACAGATGATAGGGAGATATTTTTCTTCCTCTCTCATAATAGTAAAACCTTAAGTCAGCTCAGGAAGCCAATTGATGGGAGAGTCAAAGCAAGGGAGGTCGGAGGTAAAAGCAAGTACTTCTTCACACAGTACATAGTTAAGCCATGAAATTCGCTTTGACAGGATGGAGTCATGGCCACCAATGTGAAAGATCTTCAAAGGGATTGGAGAAATCCATTGTGAACAAGGCTGTCAGTGGCTACTAGTCTTGATAACTAAGTAGGGTCTCCAGTTGCAGAGACAATATGTGTACATTGCCGTGGAACTTGGGTGGGAGGGTGCTCTTGATTTATGTCTTACTTGTGGGTTTCCCATGGGCAGTTGCTTGGTTGGATCCATCATGGCTGGCTTTAAGTTCTTATTTTCAGAATCATTAGAGAAGGACAAAGAATCTGTTTTCACTTTATTTGTTGAAGTCATTTTATACAAAATATAGCAGTTTTACTTCTGTGGAGGTGTTTTGGACCTTTTCAGAAGCTTTTTTCTCACTCCAAAATGTTCCTTTGTATTGTTCCTTTGTTCCAAAGTCTAATGCCACTTTGATTGCTTTTTACAGAAAAGCAATATATAATATTAAACTAAACTAATTATATGTCACTAATGAGGCAAAGCCATGTAATTTCATATTTGTATTTTATTGGATTAGTTTCTTCATTTTAATCATGAAGGGCCAAGTTGACATACTGTGCAAGTATATATACAGTTACTGATTTCAATTCCTTTTCTTTTAGGGTCCCTAAAGTAATACTAAGATATTTTTTCCCTGTCCGTTGTCCCAGAATTTGTCATCTAAATGCTAAATGAAATTGTATTACTTACCTCTGCTGTATAATTATTTTCTTATTTGTAAATTACTTGTAATATTTTCTTACTTCCTGGACTAATTGAATTACAACTGAAAAATACACTTATGTAAAAACACTTAGGAGAAAATCTAGTCACATCTCATTGCCACTGATTTGTAGGTGCTGTTCTCTCTCTCAGAGTTGCATAAGAAGTAAAATCACAGGCTAAAGTCCTGCACACTGGTGTATGTATAAAGCCCATTGTTTATCACTGGAGTGCCTCATCAGTACTGTAAAACTTGCATCTGAAATACTGTGGAGACAGTAAATGTAGGTCAATTATACAGCAACTGGGAACACTTGGAAGCAATGCAAGTTGAAAGCAGAGGAGTGTTGCATTAGAGCCAGTGTTTCCAAAGCAGGAGACAGGCCTTTTGTGAAGGGATGCAGGTAATTTTTTGTCAGAAGCCAAGTAATAAGCTATATGGAAGCTATATGCTGCTTCCCTTCCTAGCCTTCCTTCCCTAGCCCCTTCATGTCTTTCTATTCCAAGGATATACAAATGAAATTCCTCCTGCAACAGGGTCACTTTTAAAGTATTATTAATTCCAGAAGGATGAACTTCACCCAAAAAGAGCATTGTTTCCTCAATGTTTAACTCTTACTTTAATTCCCTTTTCTCTCTCCATATGCCCTAACATGTTCCTTTCTTCCACACTCTTTCTCTCTGCACCGCTATAAGTCTCTCAGAACCTGTCTCTGAATTATCCCCTTTCTCTTCTCTCTACTCTGCACTGTTCTTCCTCTCTGCTCTCCTCTGCATGCCTTCTCCCTTTTACATGTCATAGACTAGCAGAGTTAGAAGAGGCCATGAAGGCCATCAGGTGCAACGCCCTGCTGTTGCTGGTTACCTTGCCATAGATCTTTCTGAACAGCTCCACTTGGCTTCTGCTATTGGGCCCACATTTCATTACTTCCAAATCTTGCAGTGTTGAGGTAACTGAAACATTTCCTCAGCTCTTCTAATCAGTCCAGAGGCCCAAAAGGGAGAGGCACTCTTCTTAGATATGTGTGTCTCTCTGTGTTGCATGTTCGAATGTGTGTGTGTTTGTATGGTTTTTGTAATGTTTTTGATGGTTTTAATCTTTCTAAACTGCCTATATTATAGAAATATAATAAATACATGAATTGAAAATAAGTGGTGGGAAGAAGTAGTGATTTGAACAGAAATGTGTAAAGTGACCCAGTGATTTTGAGGGGAAGCAGTTTTATGAAATGGCCCTCCCTAGTAGTTCAGTTTAAAAATAAGGTTACACCAAGCAGTTGCACCATGCAACTTTATATTTTTCACAAGTCTGTTTCTGTGTCCTTTCTTTGGTGTTTATAACACCACATAAAATTAGCTGCTGAAAGAACAATCCATCTATTCTATAAAAATGGATTTTCCTCCTGTAGATATTCAAGCACGACTCATGCTGATGGTGAACGGCATGGTGAATGACAGTCCCAATTCTATTTTCTTCAAAAGAATCTTGCCTTACTACTTGTATATATGCAAAAAAACAGGTGAGAAATGGGCCTCCTCAATTCACTATAGCTCTAGTGAGAACAGGTTGCAAATGATAGATGCTTGGAATCCCTCCAGAGGAACTCCAATAGTCAGAAAGGAGGTTACACTCACAGCTCAATTTCTATTGAGTTAGTGAGGATCTTGCTCTTCAAAGCAGCCTATTACAATTTTAAATGCATTTAACTACAAATACAATTTTAAGTATTATAAATACAATTTTAAATATAAAAAGGGCTCAAGCATATTCTTTGTTCAGTTTTCAAAACTTCCTTGATCCTTTTTGTAGAAAGTTTAAAAGATACTACAGGACCAGTGCTGTTCATTCTGAAATTGTTCTTCATATGCTCACATTTTACAGGGTGGTCAGATAAAGTTGTTACCAAACTAAAGCATATCAATATAATTACAGCTTGAAAGAAATTCTGGAATTTCTAGTTAGATTTTCCCCCTAACTTTAGAAAATCTGACCTTAAAAAAAAGAAGACAAGAAAGAAAAGGCACGGAATAGTAATGTAATCTGTTGATGATTCTTAGTTCTGCTCTTCTGCCTTTTTAATCTGCTCCTATTTCTGCCTAATCAATTACTTCCTCCCCCTTTGCTGCAGAGGTGGTGGTTGGAGGGGGGGATGAGACCCTCTCTTCTTTGTTTGGATAAAACATGTCCCCAAAACCTATTTTCTCAGTGTATTGTGAATCCCAAAGCCTCTGTATAGCCAGGCTTCTCTGGCTAACATTTCTGGTTAATGCTACAGATTCTCAATGCATCTTTGTATCCATGTAAGAGCAGATCCATTTGATGTTCCCCAGATCTGTCATCCTTGTATTTTATTTTCCCAGAGCTTAAATCCTCTGCACTCAGTAGAGAATTTCTAAGGGGGATCTTTTCCTGGGGCTTAGTGTGTTGAGAAGCAGCAGAGGTAGAGATTGCAGCTGTCGCCTAATCAAGATCTTGCCATAAGAGAAATAAAGACTTGAAGATAAAGATGGAGATCGGGGTTCAATCCTAGCTTGCTACTGTTCCCTTATTTCCACAGAATAAAATTAATAGTTTTTGCCGTTGACGAATTTAAAGTTAAGGCTTAAAACACCTTACCAGAATTAAACATTTTGCTGCCTCTGTTGTACCATGCTTGTTACATTCACTTTTGAGACTGCTTAAGATGCTGCACAAGTTTGCTAATTTCTTTGGTAATGAAAAAGTAGCAATTGCAAGGATAAAATGAGGAAGCTGTGTTGATGCCAGATTTGGAATTCTTGGATGTACCTTATCTGTGGTACACACTGAAAGCCCATCAAGTATTCTTGATAGGCTGCTGCTCTTTAATTAGGGAGACTTGGCCATGAGGCAAGTGCTTGGCCTGTCACATCAGGGTTTTGAAAGGGAAAACATGCTGATGTCATGTACAGATAATGGGCACCATGCAAATGTAATAATTGTCCCTGTTGCCATTAGGTGTTTTGGTTGGGCTCTCACCCAGTGTATGTTGATTTCTCCACTACAGAAAGAGCAGTCACATCATTTTTAACCCCTCCTTGCAGCTCATAAAAAAAAGGTTTGCTTCTAGTTTGGTTGCTGTTTTTTCCTTTTCCTTTATATTTTGTCCAAGTTCACAAAACATCTCTGCAGTTCAGAGAGATATACAGAAGTGAGACCCTTTAAGTAGATTCTCCTTGCAGTTTTCTGTTCTTTATTCTCATTTTGAGAGGGAGTGAGTACTCTCAAAATCCACTCAGCATGTTGTGGGGTTCTCATTTGGCATTTCAGAAAGCTGGGCTGGGCTTGTGTGTTCTCCGGAGCTTAAGTCCAGTAAGTTTAAATATGTAAGCTTAATAAGGTCTGTTCAGGGCGGGCAAATACTGATGCTAATGAATTGGTGGGAGCAGTTTGGGTTTTCAACTACTTGAATAAACATTGCTTGTTCTAATTCATAGGCTTCCCGAGGTGAGGATGTATCCTGAAATAAACTGGGATATTGCAGTTCTTCAACACTGAGCATAAAACACTTAAGTGTTTCCCAGGACCTTTAGTAAGATGGTGAGAGCCAGACTTGCATAGCTTTGTTCTGCTGAATGGAGATGATAGAGCATTCTGAAGAGATTTTGGGTGTTACTTTTGCATTTTGGCTATAGCAAACCTGAATGGAGAGAGAATTAACAAAGGAAAGACCATTGAACACCACACTTCCCATATTGAATGCTTTTTATTCTGTCATAACTAAAAATCTTACAAAATTGCTAAAGACAACAGAGAAAATAGAATGTTCCACATAACAGAACCTTCTTAATTGCTCCAAATATATAATTAGGTGATCTATACCAAGTTTCTCAACTGGATCTGGGAATTGAGAGTGTCCTACTAATTACTTAATACAGGGTTGTAACCTGTATTTGTGTGGCTGTCCTCCATATGTAGGGAGATGTCAGCTGATAGAGGCTTTTAAAAACCTGAGCTGCTTCCCTGTTGCCTGTTTTAACCAACTGCCTGTTTTTAAACTAATTATTTCTGTTGTGTATGGGCTTCAGATTTGGTTCACAAAAGCAAATGAACTTTACTAACATGCTGTTATCTAGGATTGGCTGGATGTCACTTATGAATTGATGCCAGGTAAAGACCTACTTTGAGGATTACTTCAGTTCAGATACTGACACCAGCAAAAGAAACTGCACTGAAGTGGGAAAGCTAAAATTATATAGAAGCTTTCCTGAAGTATGTTAGAGTACAGCAATATAAGACTCACTTAAATTTGAAGGCTAAATTCTCCTCCCACCAGATGCTGGAGTCTTCATCCATAATGCTTCACCTAAAATATTAATTCCTCCTCAATTTGGTGAGCATCAGTTTCCTAAAATCCAGCTCCCACTGCCAATCATCCACTGACAGTACTTAACTGAATATACCAGGCAATGAAATGTAGCAAGCGCAAGGGAGAAAGAGCCGTTTTTGCTTTTTAAGCACCCAGTGTCCAAATTCTCTTCCCAATGTTTATCTGCTTGTTTTCCTGAATGCAAGAAAGACTGTTCAGTTTGCAAGCTTAGCAAGCTTAGCACTTGAAATTATAGATGGGCTGCTGGGGTGCTTGAAATTGTAAGCTGGGTGAGTAAGCACCCAAGTCTACCCTTTGACATGGCTGGCTGGGATTTTTACAAGAATGCCTAAAAAGTAGCATAGAGAAGAATAGGAGCAAGGACATGAACATTGGCAGGAACAGGGTGTAAGGGATGAATGTAGGAGCTCTGTTGTGGATACAGGATTATCTTGAATTTACATTACACTACCATTGATCTCCATTTTTCCTGTGCTGAAGGGCAAATATAAAAGATGTGATGGAAGGGCTAGTCCTGTGCCATAACCAGCCATTGAAGTCCGCATCTTTACCCTGTTCAGCTCATTGCCTTGCTGGTCCTGTTTGGAGTCCTCCAAGGATGCTGGAGGTGGTATTGGAGTCTCTAAAGGGCCCAATAAGCCCGCAGGACCTGACAGGGACACTTGCTGGATTCAAAGATAAAGTTGGTACTTGCTGGGTATTGTTTAATAATCCAAAGAAAGGAGTTTGTTCCCACACACTATTAGGGCTAATGTACATAGATATTTTTAATGGCTTTGTTTTGAGTTTGTATTCATGAATTCCCAAATTGCTTGAAAGTGCTTATAACAAACTGTTTCTGTAATTTGGTTGCCACAAGCACAGACTTGATGTGCTTGTGCATGAGTGTATGTGTGTACACCCACACACAGTGCAAGGTTGCGTGGGTTTTTTCCTGCAGCTTCTGTGCATTTCTGGCAGCCTGTTCTTCTGACTGGCTGTGACTAGTCAGTGGATAAAGTGAAATGAAATGAAATATAAAATAAAAACACACTAAAGCTGTATTAGTTTTTCATTAACTGCTTTTGTATTACTTGCCCATTTCATTAGTGGGAAGCAAATTTGAATACAACTTTGTTGACTTCACATATATTTGATGTTAGAACCAAAATCCTCCAAACCAAACCACATATAAGATCCTTTTCAATTACTTATTTTTTAAAAAGTATCTTTTGCTCAAACTACCAAATGAATGCAAAGCAGCTGACAAAACATTTTTAAAAATAAGTGTTAAACCATGAACATTAACTTAACTCTAACAGCAGCAGAGAAAAAATGTTTTAACTCCAGCAAAATTAAAAAATAAAAGGGGGGTTGTAATTGCTGTTACAAAAGCAGAAAAGCAACAAGCTAATAAATTAACTCATTCCAACAATCTGTTTGAAAACCCCGGTTTTTGCCTGGCATCTGAAGGCACTCAAGTGTTGAGATTAATGGGCTTCTCTGAGGAGGATATTCTATGGAGTTGGTGCCACAACAGAGAAAGTCATGTTCTTAGTTCCATTTAGGGCTTTGAGATATAAATCGGGCTTAAACTGATAATAAACAAACGAGGCACCCAGTTTAGATTAGATTAAAACAGTAATGTGTTCTGAACAACCAGACCCTGCCAAAAGTTCAGAGACAATGTTTTGCATGGGCTGGGTCAAAATGCCCTCCCAGTTTGCACTGCCTTTCGTAGGCTGCATAAGGAGGTAGTGGTATGACTTCTGGAAGGAACTTGGAGTTTCTTCACTCTGTTCATTTGGCAGCTGCCATTTTCCCCTACCCCATTCTCAAATGCCCCATTATAAGGGGCATGCTAGGGGGAAAAGATGGTGGCCACCATTTGATTGATGCTCAGGAACTCCAGCCAGTTTTAGTTGCTCTCAATTTATGAAATACAGAAGAGGGGGACATACATTTGAGACTGCTAATTCAAATGTTTGTCCCAGGATTAATTTGTATCAGTGTTTAAGGCAGCCCCATGCTGGACTTGGTGTCCAGTCTGGAGATTATGGAAACATTACTTATGACCAACTCTGAGTTCAGCTAACCTATTTAGAAACATAGAAACAGAGGGAGTCAGAAGGGGTCTCCTGGGCCATCTAGTCTGACCCCCAGCCGGCTCCGCTCACAACATGCCCGCCATGTGCATGTCCAGCCTATCTGTGAACACCCTCAACTCATTGAAGATAAACTCTCAGGTTTTTTTTTTAAACAACTGAACATGTTTAATGATTATATCTCATGAGGAAGAAGGAAATTTTACATAATATAATTTTGCATTAAATGATAAAGTCTTTGGAGTTCATAGATCCCCAGCGTAATCCTTGGTGGTTGTACAAATTGCCATACAGTTCATTAAAATTTACATGGGAAGTTGTACGCTGATTCCATTCAGAAGATTGTCAAATAACCCATACTGGACAAGTAAAAACTTCTGAAAGATTAAAAGAAACTTAGTGCATACAGCTGCTGGGTTCTACTCCCAGAAAAAATGACCCGTTTTTATCTAGTGGCTCACAAACTTAATCTGCAATTCAGAAAAAATACATTAATAAAAAGGCATTGCTTGAATTAGTTTACTTGTATAAGGTTCTGTAGGCAGAGAGTTTTTTTTATTAAAATAAAGCCCATTCCAAGTGTTTTATATATTTGTTATTTCACTTGCAACCTGCCTTCCTACTGAAAACTGGCACCCAAGAAGGCTTGCAGAGACAGTTAAAATTGCTTAAAACAATACGATACGATAAAAACAAGTGTTCTAGATATTTTTTACAAAATTATAATTGGGTTCCATTGTTGGAACATAGAAGGTAAGGACAGATAAAAGGTAAGGGCAGATTAAATACATAGCAGTACCCAACAGCAAGAGGACTTGGTTTGAGCTGCTAGTAGTTGAGTTGCAGTGCATCACCTCAATCCAGGAATTCTCTGTGGGAGCAGGAACTGTGTGTGCCTCTGCCACTTTTCTTAAGAGCTTCCCTATCGGCTCTACATCAGTGGAGGAGCCCTCTCTGAACATGCCAGGAAATGCACGGACAGATTATAGATTTCCATTTCATTGGATGGGTAATGCCACGTGCAGAATTGAGCAGCATTTATATTAGCATGCATAATGGATTTTTGGATGGAGGACAGTAGGTTTTAAATCTGTTTTAATTAATCATTTTATTTTTCAGCTCAAGATTTATCTATGAAGTTTTCTTGATAGAAAAATTGGGTTCCCACCAAATAAAGAAATAAACCTTCATGGCCACCTTCATTTAAATTCAACAAAATACTTGAAAGCAGACAATTATTCTTCCAAACATTTTCTCATTATTTTAGTGTTGTGAAAGCATTTCCTGGCTTAGGGTCAAGTCTGTGTAAGGTACAATCAATGCTATGAACCCCCTTAGTCAGAAGATTGTAGTTACAAGTACTCTTTAACACATGCTGTTTTAACTTGGATTTTCTCGGCATAAATATGCTCATAACTTTCTTGAATGTGGGCGATTATATGGTATAATCTTAAACTGTTCCTTCCTTTAAAGTAGGGAGTGTACAATCTCCCTTGTGGACATTCAGTGTTTCAAATTTGTTAAGTGATTAAACTCAAATCAGTTTTGAAAGTAAAAAATGCAACATTTGTGCCTGGTTCTGTATCCCAAGCCACAACTACAAAGGCAAGATACACTTAATAGGAAAGGAAGGCAAAACTATTCCCAAAATGTACTGCTCAAACACTCCCTTCCTCCCAGTTAATAAAAAGCAGCAATAAGATCATAATGTACCATAGCTGATGAAACAAATAATTTTCTTTAATGAAAAAGAACAAACACTGATTCATTCAGATACTGAACTAAGCATGCAATCAAAAGTAAAAAAAAAAAGGTTATTGGACAGTATGGGTTCTGTGACTTTCTCTGATCCTTTGATGATGGATGGAATAAAAATCTATGTCCAGATTAATGAAAGATCATTAATCTGAACATGAGAGAAAGGTACCAGAAAAAAAGGGAAAAATCTTAAATATACAATCTTGAAAATAAGTCCTACTAAAATCAGTGTGACTTACTTAGTGAACGTCAGGCTTAAACCATTTCATGTACTTTATATAATTGTTAGGTCACTTATTCTAAAGAGAACTAACAAGTGATGGCTGAAATCCTTTTGAATATATGCCTTTTTCTGCTTGGCTGTTTCCCAGAAATAGCTGTTTTTAAACTTGGCACTCAACAAAGCATTCTGGATGCTTATTGGGTGTGGTACCTGGCCAGCCTTGGTGAGCAGAGTGTTGAAGGTGGCTATTTGAAGAGAAGGTCATCCAGTTAATTGGCAAGTTAATTTATGTTCTTTATGGCCTCTGTGCATCACACATATGGGCTCTGTTCCTGCATAGGGCCTGTTATCGGGAGGATTTTCCAAGCTAAGTTTCTTCTGGCAGAATCTCCTTCTCTTCCTCCCCAGTATATCTAGAAGGAGCTCCTACCATTTTCCCCAATTCTTTTCTGACTGCCGTTGTGGGTGCTTCGGGTCTTTCCACTTGCAATTCTTAGCATTTGTACCACCTCTTTTCTTAGTCTTTCTGTTGATTTCTTTCTTGAACTCAATCTCTTGTGTGCCTTGTTCCCAATCTTTTCAAAACCCCGCTTTATCCCTCATTTTTCCTCCCCCCTCAGAAAATCTCTTTAAATCTCCCCTCCTATTGTTGTCTCTTTTTTGAACTCATCTTGCATCTTTCTCTGTTTTCTCTTTCTGCAACGGCACTCAAAGTGCCTTTCAGGAAGTGCATCTGCTGTGGGAGCCACCTGCCTCCCACGGATGGCACTCAGAGGACCACTGTTTGGACCACCACATGTGCCAACAGCAGTTGGCACAGCTGCACTGGGGACTGTCACCTCTTGGCTCCAGCAGCTGCAAAACAAGAGGCTGGACACTAAGAGGCAATGCTGCTGACTGCTGCAGCGAGCCAGTCCCCTTCCAGCCATGCAGATCTGGTTCTAAGGCCACCTGACCACCTCCCTTCCTGGGAAGCCATAAGAATGGATTTTTTGGGTTCTGTCCATTGTGGAGATTCAACACCCTTTCATCTCTTGGTTCTGTGCGCTCAACACCACTTTCTCCCATGTTAGCTGAGGAAGTTGTCACATCGCTGTTGAGTGGATTGAACTGGTCCATTCCTCCATCCCATCTCCATTATGGTTTCTACTCAAGGTACTTTATCATACCAAAGAAGGACGGTGGCCTCCATCCCATCCTAATCCTACAGGAGATGAACTTCTTAATTCTCCATAAAAAGTTCTGCATAGTCTCATTACAGAATCTTCTGCCATTGCTGCGCCAAGGGGACTGGTTCGCCTTGATCAACCTAAAGGAATGTACTTCCATGTTATCATCCACCTGGACTATGGGCGCTTCCTCCAGTTCCAGATCGGTTCCAATACCTATGTTTTCTATGCTCCCATTCAGCCTCTGCACAGCCCCCTGAGTCTTCACTGAGTGTATGGCTGTGGTGTGTGCCCAACTTTTGCTGCAACTGATTCTCCTACCTAGATGACTGGTAGTTGGTCACGCCATCCTGAAATGAACTCTTGGACTTGGTTTGGGTCATGTGCAACCTCTCAGGCACACTGGGACTGTGTATTAACAGCAAGAAATCTGTCCTCTCTCCTTCCCAGTCCATTCTTTACATCAGAACGAGACTCCATGTCAACACAGCACAGGCGTACCTACTGGTAGACAAGGCAGCAGCATTGATTGACTGCTTTGTGACTCCAGGTTGACCCAGGACAATGGTGTGGTGGGTGCAGCAGCTCCTGCAGCTCATGGAAAAGGATGTTTGTGGTTGTCCCCTTTGCCATTCTACGGACATGGCCACTGCAGCTATGATTCATATGCACTTATCGGCCTGAACACAATTTGGTCCGGAAACAGCTGGTGTTCCTGCATTTGGTATGGGAAAGCCCCACCTGGTAGACTTGCTGACACAACCTAGCAGAGGGAGTTGCCCTCATGCTGAAGGAACTGGACACCACGCTGACCACGGATGCATCACACCTGGGTTGGGGAGTGTATTGTGCCTGCAGCAGAACCCATGGAGTGTGGACTGATTGGGACTAGAGGGAACATACCAACTACCTCAAGCTCCTTGCAGTCCGTAAGGCACTGATCACATTCCAGCTCCTTCTCAAGAACAAGCATGTTCAGGTAGCTTTGGACAGCACTATGGTGTTATTTTATCTGAACAAGCATGGTGATGTGATCTGCATCCCTGTCCCACCTCACGTTACAGATCTGGGAAAGTTGCCTTGAGAGAGGCATTATCATTGTAGCCATCCAACTAGCCCAGACCATCAGTGACAGGCAGATGCCCTTAGCATCAGGACAAAGGGACCCATGAATGGGAGCTGCACCTGGAAGTCCTTAAGCAGCTCTTCCAGACTTGGGGTACCCATTGGACCTCCTTACCACATCAACCAATGCAGTGTGCAACACCTTCTGCTCCCAAGCTGGGACCAGCTAGGGCTGGGGTCAGCCGCAAATTCCTTCTCAGCTGAGAAGAGACCCTTTCTGTTTGTTCTCACTGTTTCTGCTGTTCTCCTGGTGCTGGTGAAAATCTGGAGGGAAGGCACCTCCTGCGTCCTCATCAAACCATGGTGGCACCAGAAGGTGTAGTTTGCCTGCCGCCTCTGCTTGTCCAACTGCAACTTCTTCTGGCTCCTGTTGAGACCAGACATTTTCTCCTAGGACCAAGGATGATCCTGCACTGAGACATCAACACAATCCATCTTACAGTGTGGAGGATTGGCCAGTGGACTGGGAGGTCCCTCTCTGTCCTGAGATACAGGTGATCCTGAATACAGCCCTGAAACCAAACATGAGGCATTCCTACATGGCCAAATGGATTGCTTCTGCAGTATTTGCCTGGGGGTGGGGGGTGGGGGGGGGGGGGGCAGGGCTTTCAATTAGCACCAGGTGTCCATCCAACAGATCCCCAGCTTCTTCCGCATGTTGCACAGCAGAGGCATGAAACTGGCCTCCAGTAAAGTATACCTGGTAGTGATCTCATCATCCCATAGGATGGTCGACAGCTTCTCTGTGTTCTTGCATCTGTTGTTCTGACACTTCATGAGAGGTCTGCACAACCTGGTCCCACACCTTCTTTTTTTTGTGGTGGAATGGAGACTGTTGATGGTTCTACAGGCTCTTACAGAGCCCCCCTTCAAACCTTTGGCCACCATGGACTTATGCCTCTCATGAAGGTTGCTTTTCTGGGAGCAATCACTTTGGCCAGGAGAGCAAGTGAACTTTGTGCTTTGCACATCGATCCACCATTTCTCATTTTCTATAGGGACAAGGGAGTTCTGCAGCCCAACCAGATGTTCCTCCTGATCACAGTTCTACCTGAAGCAGGACATTGGTCACAACACCATCTAAACCTTTGGAGTCAGCCCTGCATACACTTGGTATGCGTCAGGCATTGGCATTCTGTTGGTCCCATACCGCATTTTCCCTCTGTTCCCAGAGACTCTTTGTCACATATGACAAACAGTGCAGAGGCAAGCCAATCAGTCCTCAACAATTTGCACACTGGATCATTGAGATAATCAGGCTAGCCTACCAGCTGCCCAGACTGCAGGTTCCTGAGCTATCGAGTGTGCATTCTATCAGGGCAATGGTTATGTCTACAGTCCTGCATGCTGGCATCCTGCTGCAAGATCTTTACAAAGTGGTGATGTGGTCCACCCTGTCAACCTTCATCCAGTATCACCAGCTTGAGGTCTATGTTAGATAAGATTGCTCCTTTGGCCAAGTGGTCCTCTTGGCGGTCCTCTGCTGACACCACCTGCCCACCTCCATCTTGCGGTAAGCTCACCAGTTGCGTATCTGTGTGATGCACAGAGACCATGAAGAAGAAAGAAGGTTGCTTACCTGTAACTCTTGTTCTTCCAATGGTCTTCTGTGCATTCACACAACCTGCCCACTTACCCCATGTTGGTGTTGACAGCTTCAGTACCATAGTTTTCCTTTGGACCCATATTGGGATGGTGCAGGTGGGCCATTTACTGGCCTTTCCCATTGGTTCTGAGGCCACAATGTTGGTCTTGTGATAACTGGAGAAAATGGTTGGAACTACTCCTAGATATACTGGGGGAGGGAGGGGAGAGGTTTCTGCTGGAACAAGTTTAGCTTGGAAACTCTTCCCAATAACGAGGACCCAGACAGGTGCAGAACTCACATGAGTGAATGCACAGATGACCACTCAATGCCAGTTACAGGTAAGCAACCTTACTTTCTTGGTATGGTACTGGCTCTTGGATTGTTGCTGTCATTGGTCTAACCCCTCAAGTACACTGGCATTATCCAAGCAATTGGCTTCGGCCTGTCTTTGAGTTGCTGGCTTTCAGACTCCGCACTCCCTGCCCAGCACCAAAAACCTCCGCATGGTGTAGGCCAGTAACTTACCACTACTTTTGAGTTTGTGCTGCTGACTCACAGCATGGTTGCTTTTGCTGATTTTATGCATGAGGATAAGCTGAGGATTTGGTGAAGAGGGAACTGCTTTGGCCAGCAGGGCTTATCGCAAGCTGCTCTCAACCCAGAAGTGCTAGGTCCTAGTGCTACTGCCCTTTGCTGGGACAAAAGTGGTTGTGTTTCACTAGTATGGTCTGCCTGTGATGACCTGTATTAATTCTTTTGTGTTTTCCCTCTCCCCTTTTGTGTGTGTGTTTTTTCTCTTCTTCCTAGATAAATGGCTCATTTAAATTGGGAGCTGCTACTAAAATATTCTCTGGCTGGCAAATGCAGTGCCTAGCAGCTGCTATCAAGGACGAACCAAACATGAGTGGGGGAGCAGAACAGGTCGACATTCTGCCGGCCAACTATGTAGTAAAGGACCGTTGGAAAGTGGTGAGTATGTACCTCTGTCTCCACCACCCCCACTTCTAAACTTTGCCCGATGACATCAGTTCCAGCTGCTCCGTTTTACTTGTACAGATCAATTACCCGAGGCCTGCTCTGAGTGAACTGTTGTTGTGATGCTTCGAGGAACATGTTGATTGACATGTTGTATGGTCCTGGATTGAGCGGGAAGCTGGACTCAGTGGCTTTATAGGCTCCTTCCAACTCTTCTGTGATTCTATTCTGTGACTGCTTCAGTTATGTTTTTAATAGGGCATTAAAAGCAACACCACAAATCTGTGTCTTTGTTGTAGCATGCTCTTTATGAAGCCAGCTCTGCCTGATAAGCCTCAGCTAGTGTGCAATTGTCCATAAGACAGTAGACCCATGTAGAGATGGGTTTTATGCGGCTGCTCCAAACCACAAGAACTCTTTCCTATTTAATCTCTAGCCTATTCAGTCTCTGCCAGTGGGAATACAGATGCAGCAGCCCTTGATGATTGCTGTTCAAATTCTTAAGTAATTGTTTATTTTACAAGTAGGACCTGTAATTGTCTTACTTGTAAAGTAGGACTAGACTAGATACATTGAAATTATCCAAAGTGGTAATATGGACAGCTGCAGCTGTTTGTGGTTGCAGCCAGCCATGTTCCTTTCCAAGATGCTCCACTCCAACCCCACCCTGGCTTTCTGGCTTCCCCCACTATAGTTGGTTAGCAGTACATGGCCACTGAACACGGTCGTATCTTGTGGAGCTGCTGTTTCATCCCAGAGGATTTTTCTTCTAAAGGCTTTTATTGATTGACACAAACAGGGTTTTCCTGATTCTTGTTGATTCTTCCTCCTTGTGCATGGATGTTGTCACTTTCTTTGCATATGGATATATACTTGGAGAATGAGTTTACTATACGTGGAGCAAAGGGCATTAATGATTTTCACTAATCAGTTGCTAATTAGCTGATAGTGAATCTGTTCAAGATGACAGTTGCCCATTAGTAGAAACTCCTGTTTCCAGTGTCTTTATAATATTACTTGTGCAACGATGGGCAATTGCCTTTTGTATGTGATGGCTTTATTGTCTATATGTCAAACCTGCCTTAAGTGCCCGTACTCACCTTCTGATTCTGTCAGGAAAATTCAACTCTGAGGAAAAGACCATCCTCCCATGGCTCTTTTTTGTGATCCATTTTATGTAAGCAATCTGTCTTGCTAAAGGCTGCCAGTATCAGTGCACAATGGTAGGCTAGATGCTGTGCAGAGAGAGGAAAGTATAGGGCAACAGATAGCAACATAAAGAAGACATGATGTGAATTGCCTTCAAGGAAGAAGTAAAGTGATTCTTTTTAGTACCTGTGGCTTGGTCATGTTTATTACAGTTACTTTCATTCGTATAACGTTTTGCAAATAACAAATTTGCCATGACCCTTGCCTTCTGAGTTGGACCCCTCTCTCCTTGTCATCATAAAGAGGTACATTCAGAATTGGTTCCACTTGAGGAAAAATGCAAGTTGGCTCTTCCCTTTGGAACAGGGGAAAAAGAACACCTAATTATCCATTTTACCAAATTCAAAGGCTCTGAAAGCGCTGACAGTGTGATAGATGATGTACACAGCTGCATCACAATGGCTCAGAAGTAACGTTGCTGCCATGACCTAGCTTGGGGCACTGTTTCCTGCCCCACTTCTGTATAGCAACTAATACTGCAGGCCTCTGCCCTCTCTGGCACGCATGACAGTTGTGCAATTAGAGAGAGCTGCAGCTATCTGTTCTACAGGTTTGTCTGCAGCAAGGTAATAGGTACCTGTTTTTGCTCTCCTTCCATACTGTTTCTGTTGCTTCAGAATACATGAACTGCTGCTGGTGTGGTTTTCATGCTTGCTGTGTTAGAAGTGCCTGGCATGCAGTCAGCAAGACCAGCTTCTGTGATATTTGTCTATCCCATGGCAAACTGTGCAAAACATACCTTCTTTGCAGGGAAAGGCAGAATATCTCAAACATAATCTGCCTGTGATTTCAAATAATACATTCAAAGACCATTTGCTTTTCAGAATACTTTGATTAAGGTATAGTACTTTACCAATTCCACATTATCTTTGAACTTTTAAGCTCCCTTTCTTTGTCTTCCTTATCCTTCCCTTTTCATGTTGTCTCATGAGTCTTTGTTACAAAAATCCTTTGTGCTTCTATGCAAAGATGAAAGAGGTCTTGTGGAGATTTTAATTTTAATTGCAAAGATATTTATTGCAGAATGCAGCCAGCTTGTTGTGACAAAGAATCCCTGGATTACATCATGTGTTTCATATTGCCTGTGTATCAAAATTATAGCTTCAAATTTCATCAGGTAGACACAAGAACTGCCCAAAGTGCCATACACTAGCTTATACTAATAAATAACTCTTCATATGCAGTATTTTCTAATCAGTCCCCCTTTTAATAACTTCCTTGTTTGCTTACTAGAGCAGTTCTAAGCCAGCTTGCTGACTGGAGTTAACCTACCTGTGTCATTGTAAACAGGTGTGTATGAAACTGTCTGGATATCCTGCAGTGAAAACCTAGGATGCAGTCCTGTGCATGTGGAGGGGAATACTGAGAGTTACAAGAGGTTTCTTTTTATTGTCTGAAAGCATGCATATTTGCTGCATTCATCTTAGTTGATCAAAATGAATGACCTCAGTGTTCAGAAAGCAATAAAAGTTTTTCTTGTTCACACTGAGTTTTGGATTCTAAATTTCACTTAATTTTGAAGTGAAGTTACTGTTTCTTGTTCAGTCCCCAAAATGGCTTGCTCAAAAGGGGATAATTGTAGGATTCACTCATTTACCTACTGGTTTCTGATATCCATGTCTACTGCTGAAGCTTGCTTTTAATTGGGGTTGTGAATCGGTAAATAGGTGAAGTCTCATCTTTAGTCAGGTCAATGGATCAGATGACAAGTGAAAGACTATACCTCAGAGATAAAACTGTCTCTAGAGAGAATGCTAGTCCAGACTTATCCATGTGTAGGTTTACATTGCAGGTTAAGTTTATATTGTGTATCCTTGTCTTACATTGCTTGCTTATTGATTCTTTTTATTATGGTGTTATTTAATAAGCAAAATGGATTTTGGGTTTTTTTTACTTATAATTTAAAATAGGAATCTTGTTGCAATACCCAACCAACACAAACCCTTTCCTAGGGTTTGATAAGTATTTGTGACTTAAGGAGCAACTCAGAGATTTGGTGAATAATTTTTCCCTTTGTTGTGCTGGTGAGTGCTTGTATAATTTCTAGATTAAAGTAATGGGGGTCCCAGTCACCCTCCCCAGTGTATGGAGGTCCTGAGGCACATGTTTTCTTCTCTCCTGCCTTAGTCCTCCTGCAGGTATTTCAGGGGACACTGTGGAGCACCCTCCAGGGAAATCCCCCCCCCCAACTGGCAGCAGTGCCTGCTTATGCATCAGAGCTACTCAAATGGCAGCTGTTCCTTGTGCCAAAGAAGGTCAGTCATGGGTTACTTGGTTGCAGGGTGTCCACCAGGACCCCCCCCGCCCCCACTGTACAAGCACCAAGCACTACCTCTGTTATGTGCCATCTGCAGTCAGCCTTTGGGCTGCTGTTGCTCACACAAAAGAAGGTTACAGGTTTTACAACCAGAGCTCAGTGTGTGTTTGTGGACTTCCTCTCTGATTGGTGCTCTTTGGAAGACTGGGCTAAGCACAAGAGGTAGCCCATGTGGGATGGATTCCAACAAGGTTCATCCCATCCTAAATTTCAATAAAGGGAAATGGGGAGACAACAGAAAAAGCAGTGGAAGAGAAACATGTCCCCATGCAGTTACATATATTTAACCCTCATCTCCTATTTAATTTGAGTCTAAGGGGTTAAGCCAAAAGTTTCATGCGAAGGTGATGATGAGTACCCAGTGTCCGAGGCAGTAGGCCTGTATCTGCCACTTGCTGGAAAACTGGGGCAGGAATGTGCTGTTGCACTTGTGCCCTGCTTGTGGGATCCTGTGGGCAGCTGGTTGGCCACTCTTTGAACAGAATGCTAGACTAGATGGACCCTTGGTCTGATCCAGCAGGGCTTTCCTTATGTCCTTAGTTCTGAAGGAAAAGCAGAAGAGAAAGAGGGAATTGTTTAGGTATTCTGAAAGGGAGTCCTGGGACATCTCAATTACTTCATAAGTTACTGCATCTTTAAGCTATTTGCTTCCCTGGCCAGTTCATCTAGCCAATGAGATGAAAAGCAGTTTTGCTATCCTGAAGAAGAATCTCCAGGAATTTCCTAGAATCCAAATAGTTGGCTTGACCTAACAAGAACTTGGTCATCTTTATATGTAACATATAGTTTACCCCAAACTCATGCAACTGTGGCCAGATGACCCTTTTGAAGAAGCAATATGACTTGGTAATCTTTGTGTAGTGGGGGTTATTTGTTACCTGATCTAAATCACCCTGCAAGTGATATTTTCCTCCCATGGGGTTTTAAATGCATGCTTACAATGAAAGGTAATGGGGCTGGGGAGGAATTTGGATTGGAGGAATGGCAGATGGAGGAAAGGGTAAGTGCTCCTGAAGTAGCTTTTCCATTGTTAAGAAATGTCAGGCTACTGTTGCATGTTTTTGCATATGATATATAATCTGGGCCTTTTTCTTGCTATTCTTTCATGTGCTTCAGACTGAATTCAAGATAGCAATAGATAGGATGACAATTGGTTTGATCACCACAAGTTCTGGACAAATGTTTTGCATTTTGAGCCAGGCCTGGTCCAAAGGAAGCATTCCTGAGTGTCCAGGAATAAATAATTAAAATGAAGCAGCAGCAATTGTGCCAGATGGTTGCTGAGCAGGTGATTTTGTTTGAACTGATGACAGATTGTCCAAAAGGAAAGGCTAGCCCTAGGGAAAGAATGTCACAAAAAATGTTTCAAAGGACAACTGACGTACAATTTGGGAATGATGGTGTATGTCCAAACAGAATGTGTAAATCACCTTTAGAGAATAAAAATTTTCAAAAGGTCTTTGTAATA